CCTGTCCCCTCCATCATGGGTAAACTTTGCCTGGGGCCAGCACCAGAGCTCACCCATTGCTGCTGCTCCCTGTCCCTGTTCTCAGCCTCCTGTTGCTGCTGGAGTCTCCTGTGGGAACAAATGTGTTAAAACTGAGGCCTAAAATTTGAGGCCTCACCCCATTATTCCAGCTCCTTGGGAATAGCACATAAAGGCCATCTTTCACTTTGGCCCTCACTTCAAGGTGCTACAGGTCACCCTTGAAGAGAGAAGCACGGTGAGAGGGGCAGGAGCTGCTCCAAATAGTGCTATCATTCCAGGGAAATCTCTTCCTTAGGGATATGGACATGAGCATCTTGATATGGGAGCTGGGCAGATTTCCCTGGAGTTGTCTCTGTGGGGCTTGGAGCTCCCTGGACCTCTGACACCACAAAAATAGAGGCCATGGGTGTCAAGCAAGAATTTGGGAAGCAAAAGGAGGAGTAGTCCTGGAGCAAGATCCGTGGGCAGGGAGACTCAGGGATGATGCTGGACAAGCAGCCAAGCTCCTTGGGGGTTAGCCAGAGAGGCATTGCCTCCACAGCCAGAGCAAGATGCCCTTATATCTGTTCTCTTAAAGGAGATTTCGTGGGACTGCAGGAATTCCAGCAGTGAGAAATGCATGGACATGATCTACCACTTCCAAAGAAATAAACTTTGCTGGAGTGGGGGCAGCTCAGAGAGGTAGTGACAGGGCCACCCAGCACCAAAGGGATCCCAGACAGCAGGATGGGCTCTAGGAATCCTTCCCAAAACCCCACTCACTTCTGGGCTTCAATTTCACTGGATCTGGCTTTAAACATCTGCTCCCGCCCCGCTGCCTCCTGCAGCTCCCGCTCCCGCTGCTCCCGCTCCAGCCGCTGTCGCTCTTCCTCCGCCCTCCTCTTCTCCTCCAGCCGACGGTTCTCCTCATCCTTCTGAGGGGAGATGGGCACAGAGGCTTGGGCTGAGGTGTGGGGGTCACGCCTGTGACACACCTGTGACTGTCACAACCTGTGCCAGTGCTCGGAACCCCCCAGGGCACACAGCAGGGCCCAGGGGACAGGGCATATCCAAGGGCACACGATGGATCCTGGGGCTTGTGGTGGATCCTCTTATCCAGTCAGAAGGTTCATATGTTATTGCTTAACCCCATAAAACTCAGCATGAAAGGGAAGGAAAAAGGGAGCAGCCCTCGGAGAGGTCAAAACCCAGTTTCCTCAACCATACGGGTTTTGCTGGGAGCTGGGATGCAGCCCAGCTGTCTGCCAGGAGAGCCTGGGTGCACCCCAGCTCTCCCTCCTGAGCTCACCCCAGCAGCCCTGAGCAAAAAAGATGGGATAAAGGAGCACCTTTTTCCCTTCAAGACTCAGCCCCTCCTCTCCGAGCACTGCAGGGCAGTAACTCTGCACTTCCCTGAGCTCTTGATTCCAGGCAGGACTGCCCAGTTCCCAGACAGGGAATAAGCATATGGAGAATAATTTCCATCTAAATCCAAACACTTTGTGCTCTGAGGCATGAGTTCACTCACCTCTGCTTTGGCCCAGAAATTATCCTTATTGACCCGTTTGATTTCAGACATCGCATTCGTCTTCTGGTACACAGAGCCCTGAGGAAGACACAGAGAAATCACCTTTCCTGCATTTTTTGTCAACAGTCAGCCCAAATCGGCACAGTCTGAGACTTCTCTTAGAAGTTCCTATAACCTGATGCTTTGCCCCACAATTAAAAGGAGAGCTGGGTGCACATTGCCAAAACCAGGGAATTGCTGGCCCTGGCACAGGCTGCTGTCCCATCCCTGGAAGTGTCCAAGGCCAGGTTGGACAGGGCTTAGAGCACCCTGGGGTAGTGGAAGTTGTCCCTGCCTATGGCAGGGGTGGGACTGGATGGGCTTTAAGGTCCCTCCAATCCAGCCCATGATTCCATGCTGCAAACCTGCCCTCTGGCATTCCCCCTTGTCCTGTTACTCCGTGCCCTGGTGCTCTCCAGCTCTCTTGCAGCCCCTTTAGGCACTGGAAGGGGCTCTAAGTTCTCCCTGGAGCCTTCCCTTCTCCAGTCTGAACATTCCACAGACATGTCAATGGCCAGGGTGCCTCTTCCATCAAGGGATGATAATGGTCCCAGACCTTCCCCCCACCCAGAGGCAGCCAAAAGCCCTCAGTGATTCAACTCACCACAGGAGCCTGGGGCCCTGAGTCCTGGAACTTGCTGCTCTCCTTGTGGAAGCTGTAGTTGGCCCCAGAGGCCTTGGCCACCTTCTCCATGATGAGTTCAGGCTCCACATCCTCCTCTGCCCGGGCATTGATGGTGACATGAGCCCCCTGAGAAGGAGGATCCAGGATAAGGGTGAGGGGGTTACTCTGGGAGCCCCCGAACCCACCACCCTGCCCCAGTGGGTCTTGTCTGTGCTCCCAGAGCTCCCAAGGAAGGGAAAAGGGTGCTGGTGAGAAGGAGAAAATATCCAGAGGGATTTTTTCAGCAAGCTGGTCTACTGGAAGATATCCCTGACCATGGCAGGGGAGAAGAACTGGATGGTCTAAGGGCCCTCCAACCCAAACAATTCAGTGCCGAGGACACGAGGAGGATCAGACCTTCAGGAAGTTGGCCACGGTGCTGACGTGGTTGGCGCAGGCTCCTTTCCGCACGTCATTGACACCTTCACCCGTCTGCAAGGAGACACCATCAGCACTGGCTCACCTGAGCCCCTCCAGGTGGATTCATGGCAGCAGCACCTGGATCTGAGCCTGAGTCCCTCTCCAGCTCTCCTGGAGCCCCTCAAGGCACTGCAAGGGGCTCTGAGGTGTCCCTGGAGCCCTCTCTTCTCCAGGCTGGACACCCCCAGCTCTCCCAGCCGGGCTCCATGGCAGAGGGGCTCCAGCTCCCTCCCAGTTAAGCCAAGCTCTGTCCCCACTCACCCAGTTGACAAGGACATATTTGGGCAGCCCAGAGTTGGGATCCTTCACGCGGCAGAAGCCGTACATCACCTTCCCACTGTTGAGCTCCTCCACCATCTCTTCCAGCCCCCCATCTGTCCCAGGAGGAAGGAGAGGGGGTGAGTCCAGCCCGTTCTGTACATGTGGTGGGAACAGCCAAACCCAGCCCAGCTCTGTATTCCCTGGAGATTTTCCCCATTGGGTGTGGGGTTGTCACACCTCCTGAGTGTCTCAGACCCCTGTGTTTACTCTGTAAACACATAACCTGATCATTTATCATCCACGTGATTATTTGGGAGCCAAGCCCCAGCCTTTTCTCACCCACTCTCATCCCCAGCAGCCTTTATCACACAGTTTGTCTTCCTCAGGCCTTCACAAATCCCATATGGAAAGATCCTGGATCTGCAACCAAGTGCAGGCATGACAGAGAAAGGGAAGGAGCTGCTCACACTCCCTAATCAATCAGAAGCTTTAATGAGAGCAGGCAGTTTTGCCCACAGGTTCCTGCACAAAACCATACTCAGGAACACCTCAGTGAGGGTGGGAATGCTGCTGAGAAGTGGTGGAGGAACTGGCTGAGCCTTGTTCCTGCTTTGCAAGATGGGAAGCAGAGAAGGAACCAAAAGAGTAACATGGGGCAAGGTCCTGCAAGTCCACCATGGGGAAACTCCTGCCTCAACACTTCCCTCCCTGTTACACCCACCCAGAGTGGTCTCAGTGCTGCTTTGAGGACTTGAGAGTGAACCCCAGAGGAAAAACCCCACACAGGGCTCAGGCAGGGGCAATGGAAAGCGGACAGCGTCGCTCCCACTACACCAATAAACTACCAGGAAAGGAAGAAAACCACCAAAAATGCACATTCTCATCTCAAAAATATTCTCCCAGACCACAATTCTTCCTGAGCCCTGAAAAGTGGGAAAAGAGCCACTGGTCCTTATCACTCCTGGCAGGAGTAACACAGACCAACACAGCTTGCTCTGCTCCGCAGCATCACCTGGATCATTTCCTTCTCCTTATTAAGTATTTATGTTTTGGCTCTAAATTTGGCTCCAAACCCGGCAGGGAAGTTGAAGGTTGGAAGTCTGAAGCTGGTTGGTGAGGGCTGGCACAGAGGGACATGACAGGAATGCTGGGGGTAGCAGGGATCTGCAGGGAGCTCAGGGCACTCTGCAGCTCCACAAAACTCTCATTTGTGACACAAGAAGAGTTCTTCTCAACAAAATTCCCTGGCTCCATGGGCTCCACCAGACCCCGTGGAGCATCACGGAAACTTCCACAGAGCTCCACAGGCTGGGAAAAACACTTGGAAATTAAGGAAGAAGTGGGGGAGGGATGAGAGGATGCAAATTCCGAGCGCAGGGACACCCGTCTGAATGTGCTGCTTCCTGAAGGCTTCGGCTTTCCAGCCAGTAGTGCTTGGGTGGGAATCAGCAGCCAGATAAAAAATAAATAGAAGAATTGCGGGAAGAAGGGAACCGGACAAGAGGGGCTTTAAGAGCATTGAGTAGGGAGCCCTGGCTGATTGAGCGGCTTCGGAGCACCACGTGGTCCTGCCTAAATCTGGGATCTAAAATACTTCAGGGATGCAAAGAGCAGTCAGCATCCAAACTCTGGATCCTTTGGAAAGGAGAAAAATGAAAGGAAAGGCGAAGCAGAGCTGCCAGTGAGGCTCTGCTCCATATTCCTCACTCCGAAATCACATCGGACACCCCAACACAGCTCCCACCCTTGTCCCACCACCAAGGGCACTCCCCAAAACACTCTCAGGGATTAAAACCCCCCCAGCATCTCAGGCAGGTTCAGTGAGATGAGCCCTGGAAGCCCCCCAGACCCTGGAAGCCATGGAAACAGGGTGATGGTCCCCAAAATCCTCACCTCCGGAGCCGGCCACCCGTAGATCATTGCTGTTGCCTTCATAGGTGAACAGAGCCCTAAAATTAAGGCAGAAATGGTATTTTTAGGCAGCACAGTGCTCATCTGGGGTGTTCACACACCCCTGACACCTTCTGAAGTGCAGAGCCCCACAGGGACCTGCCAGCCCACAGCCCAGGGAATTACTGATCCCCCCAGACACCCCCTGATCCTCTCATACAGCCCACCCCCCAATCGCCCCCCTACCTCCCCATCCATCCCACACCCCTGAGTCCCTCTATACACCCCACATCCCCCCAAACACCCCCACAGTCTGGTCCCTGTCACACCATGTTCCCCCAAGCCACTGGCCCAGCCGGAAATGTTTTCCCAGGCCCTCCACCCGCACCCATCTCTGTTTCACTTGCACCCCTCCATCCCCTGCCCACCCCCTCGGATTCCCCCTACACTCCCATCCCCCACCCCAAACTCCCACATCCCTCCGAACACTTCACACTCCCCCCCGCTCCTCATCCTCCCCCATCCCATCCCCATCCCATCCCCATCCCATCCCATCCCCATCCC